AATTATATATATATGGCTTCTAGCCATAAAATAGGAAATTCAATATGATATATATAAATAAAGATAAATTAAATACATATATGTGGTTTCTGGCCATAAAATAAAAAATACAAATTATATGGCTTCTAGCCTTTTAATGAGATAAAAAAATTCAAATATATATGGCTTATGATAATAAGATAGAAAATCAAAATTACATGACAACTAGCCATTTAATAAGATAAAAAAATTAAATATATATGACTTCTGGTCATAAAATAGAAAATTCAAATTATATGGTTTCTAGTCATTTAATAAGATAATAATAATCAAATATATATGGCTTCTAGCTATAAGATAAAAACTCAAAGTTGTATAGCTTTTGGCTATAATATAGAAAGTCAAAATCATATGGCTTTTAGCCATTTAATTTGAAAAGAATGGAAAATCAGAGTTATATGGCTTCTGGCTATTTAATCTCAATGAGATGAAAACTTAGAATTATATGGCTTTTAGCTATTTAACTTTAGATTGTAACTCTTTAAAGATATTACTAGTATCCATTGGAACTTTGGGTTCCATCGAAATAGTGACGCCAAATCAATAAGGAATAGAGGGGAAGAAAAAAAATCATCTCATCATAATTAGTTCGGAAGATATAATATCTATATTAAAATTAAATTATAGCACTAAAAAGTAAAGCAAAATCTCCAATCATAGCCATGGAACCTGATGTTTAAAACAACAGTACATAATCTTTTTAATTCCATATAATGGCTTAGATTATCCTAGATAAATTGAATAGGAATACGGATACTCTGAAACACTATATGTATGATGTTCGAGGTATTTTTATTTGAACAGAGCAAATGATATTCTAGAAAAATAATAAAGATGATGCTCTAAAATTATGATGGGGTAGAAAAGTATATCATACGCACCTTGGTTAGAACTTCATGCTGATAACATGTTATAAATAAAGAAGAAATAGAGAAAAGAATCATACAGAAGAAAAGAAGATCAACAAGAGAGAGTACTTCTCATTCCATTCAAGTGTCCTCAATACATTATACATGGCCTCTATTTATAGCACCGCTTTACACCTTCGATAGAATCTACTTATTACATAATAATATGAGATAATTGTGCGATATAGAGATAATGGGAGATATTAGAGATTATAAGAGATATATGGACATCCACAAAGATATTATTATATTCATAACATAATCAAAATTTAAATGCTGATTTGTGACTGTGATTAGTGATAATTTAATGAAATTTTGGTTAGACCAAAAATAAAATTTGCATTAGTCCTATCTATTTATCATATAAATGCATGCCCTTATAAATATGAACTTTCTAAATCTAACGTCATGCATGTTTATAGTATTCCTCTGGTCTTAAATATAAAACCCATTTTATTTACACTGTAAAAAAAGTCTTATATTTAGGACCGGAAGAGTAGCATTTAAATTTTATTTTTTTGTCAAAAAAAACTTATTAAAAAGTCGGACATTTTATTATATGTTTTTCTTTTTCTACTTGTTGGCAGCATCATACCTTACTCTAAATATGAAAGAAGAAAAACTGAAGGGATTGACGAATCGCATGTATTACTGAGTGTTTAAATATAGCTAAATTGCTCATGATGTCTGTGTTTGTAACTTAATTATGATAATTTTATGAATTTTATTGTTTTATGTCCATTTCTCTAAAGATATCTAAAAAAAATGATTTTTCACTAAATGGGCCTAGAACCCACAAACTTAAGAGCCGAACTTTAGTACAAGGGTGTTTTCTAGAAGTTGGGCCTAAACAGGCTCGTTTATTTCCCAGTACAATTTGTAATTTGAGTAAATTAAAAAAATAATTAGTGTATTTTAATCAATAAATTAAGATTTTATATTTAGATAATTTTTAAAGAAAAAAATATTTTATGTTGTATGAAATAAGTACATAGCAGTAGTTTTGTCTCAACTTATAAATATAAAAATGTTTTTCAAAAGTACAGACAAACAAGGACTAAAATTTATTAACAAATTTTTACGTTCGGAGTTAGGAAATATTTTATATTAGTGCGAATTACGAAGGGGATAGTGAGCAAGTATTTTACGCAAGAAAGCATTTAAAAAGTGGCTGGCTAGTGGCTTGGGATGGAGAAGAGGTCAAAATTGATGGAGGATTACAGGTTCCCAGCCTGCAAAGCAATTTTATTTTCTTCTAAAAGAAAAGAAGGCCCCCGGGGGGAGGGGGTAGGAGGAAGATTCAATGACATTGACAATGACAAAGACCCAAATGCCATACAGATAATGGAGGGGATGAAAGGGTTTTATCTGTGATTGACCTAATCAGGGGAGCCTCAACCTTAGGGCGCAAAAGATAAGAGAGAGCTGGTGTCAAGGGGGTGGGCTACCATGCGGGGCTGCCCACGTGATTGACAACAGCAATGCCCCAAGTCAGCAATCTTTTATTTTCCTCTTGAAAATGATAACCTATTAACAAAAGGTGACGTGAACAACTCCAACAGCTTTCTTTTTCTTTCTCTCTCTTCTCTTTGATCCTAAACCCACTCTCACAAGGAACTCTGGTCGGCAATTATTTCTCTTTTAAAATTATAATAATATTATAGTAATTGTATCTTCTTTGCCCACTTCATGTATTACGCTCTGTGCCAACCCCAATACTCTGCTTCTTTCTAACCAATTGGGTTGTTTAAATTAATTTTTTTAGAAATAATTTAAGGATATTTGAGATAAATACGTAAGACAAATTTTATTTCTGTGTTTTGTCAACTACTTGGCTGTTGTCGTCTACGTCGCGGAATTCTTATTTAATGACCATCATGCATCCAAGTATATAACCTGTTTAATTTAACTGAATAAAACTAGCCAAAAAAAAAAGAAAGTCCCTTCTCCTTGATGTAACCACCATTAATTAAAATCCCTTTCCCTTTACCTCCACTTGATGGCAAGGGTTTTTGCCGCTCTCCTCCATAATTAGTTGCCTTTTGCCCTTTCTTAATTAGTTCCATGTATGGCCAAAGGATAATCTTACTTTCCAAATTATTTAGGGAAAACCATATCATAGGTATCTCTACTTTTTCTCAATTTTTAATTTGGTACCTATGTGTTTTTTCCTCTTGATTAAACATTTAATTTTATTTTTTTTAGCAACATTAGCTCTTATAACTTTGTTCTATTAGTATTTTTAGTTTCTATATAAGGATTAATGATGTTAATTGAACAAAATTAAAGATTTAGTTAAGAACAAAAAATACATAAGTACCAAATTGAAAATTTACAAAAAATACAGGTACCTCCAATATGGTTTTCCCAATTATTTAAAGTGCAAATTGGATTTATTGATACGTGTATGGCACTTGTATCTTAAGTGAGAGAACGCATTGGGTTAACATGTTGTATTAGAGGAGAATATGTAGAACTCTTATATTCGCAACACAAGATTTTAGTATTTTTATAATCTTAATAGGGTTAACATATATTCAATACTCTAAAATATTTTCTCAGGTACATTTAACACCATAAAGTTTTTTTCTCATGTACATCTAGCACCATGAAGTATTTTTTGAAGTATTTTTAAAATATCTTTTGGTACATCCAGCATCATAACAAAAAGAAGAAAAAAAAATATTTAAGGATGCTAGATACATATGAAAAGTATTTAAAGGTGTTAAATGCACTACAAAATATTTAAAATACTAAATATATCTAAAAAAAATTTCAAAATGCTAGATACATTTTAAAACATATTAATAATAGATTAATATGTTTTAAGGAGAGATGACACGTCCGAATAGGCTCAGCCCGGCAATGGCCCTTTCATTGTTTGTCCGCACGTCTGGTTAACTTCCCCTCCACTCCACATAAAAGAGCACAAGACATACAAGATAGTATTGGCATATAAACGTATCAAGAATGCCTCTTTAGGAAAACAGCATACATATAAATTATAATTAATTGAATTACAAAATTATTAAAAGTTTTTAGATAGACTTTTAATATTTCTTGTAAAAAAAATACAAATTACAAATAAAATTTTTCTTAATTCTTATATGAAGTAGGAGATACAATTTTTTTCACCCACCCTTATTAAAGAAAGAGTATTGAAAAAAAATGTATATATTTTTTCACATTTTTTATCGTTTTTAATAAAGTCAAAATTAAAGAAAAGGCATTAATTAACATATACTCCCTCCTTTTCTTTTCATAGGAGCATGATAACTTAATTACGCAGTTAAAAAAATTGTTAAAATTAGTTAGCACTAATAAATATGTAAAAAATAATAATGTTTTTTCAAGCATACTTATATTTATAAAAAGCGAGACAGAAAAAGCATGAAAAAATATAATATGCCAAGTTATCGATTTTTTAAGTAATGTAATATATTAATTACAGGACAAAAATGATAAAAACATAACAGAATTGAAATCTTATAATAAAAAAAAAAAGTTCAAGACAAAATACATCTTGCCTTTCAACTATTAAACTCTTCTGGAAAAAAAAAATTGGAGGAATAAATCATTTATATTTAGAAATAAACTTTTGGCACACAAACTTTTATCACAGAATCCATAACTCATTAAGCAGAAGGAAGGAAAGATTTGGATAAGATACGCAAACTATCGGGAAGGGTTAGAAATAATTGAGGTACTTTATGGATTTTTCTTCCAGTGTAAGTTAGACCATCAACTTTCAAAACTAGGGACCCTTCTCAGTAACTCATTTTCAACGCCGTGACCCTTTCTTCCTCCTCACCCTCGCCCAAATGTCCATAGAATTATTAACTGTAAATGCTGTTTTGTCGGCAAAGTGATTTAGGACCTGCCTGAAAAGGTTTAAAAAATTCTGAAACAAAACTCTTTTCACGTACAAAACTCTTTTCACGTAGTATTTCATAAATTATTATTAAAAAACTATTTATAAATTATTTTACGTTGTCCAATACACAATAATGGGATTTACTTCTTGTCCAGTGCATCCACAAACCAAAGAAACACTAGTACAAGGTTAATCTACACCATGCTTCGATTGAAATTACAGCGGGGAAGAGTCGTTGTTGGATGAAGCAAGAAATTGGGATTACGCAACTGAACAGTACCATTCATTACTCTTATCGAGATTAGAGGAAACAGAGGGTAATCCCGGTATCCGCTTCTGAATAATTATACTAATAATAATAACCTAGAAAAAAGAGCATCGAAAAGTACAAGATACAATAACTAGGAATGAGGACAAAGTAAGGAAGAGAGAGAAGGAGGAATTAAAGGTTGTCACGGGTTTCTTGCAAGAGACGGCAAGCTGTTGCAACTACTGCTTTCCTCACGCTCATCAGATTCATGAGAAGAGAGATGTGTGATTCCGCTGATGCTTGACGTGGACGACGTAGGTGTACGATTCAAATCAGTAGTCGCATTCTCGTTCTGTGCTAAGAAGTCATAAAACACAGGCCTTGATCTGTTCATATCCCTCCTCACTCTGAAACTACTCTGTTCTTCACTCTTCACATTCGTGCTTCTTCTCTTCAAGAATATGCGACAAAGTACCCAGTTCTGCATCCCCACCGCCGAGCTCTGTATTTAGGAAAAACAGAGTGTATGCGTCAGAGTTGGAAGTAGAATTAGAATTAGAAGAAGAAGATGGAGATAAGTGAGATTGGTACATTGTGAAGGCGATATTCATGCATGATCCAGTCGGTTCTAGACCCATGAGGAGGCTTGCCTCTGTAGAAAACCAGAGTCTTCTTCATGCCCACGACTTGATTTCCCTTTGAAGTCAGAATTTGCTTGTCCAAACCAGTGGCTTTCCAATACCCAGAATGTGTAGCTCTGTTGGATCGGCTTCCATTAGAGTATTTAGCTTCTCTGGTACTGAAGAAATATCTCTCCTGTTCCATATCACCTGTACAGAGTAAGCCCCCCTGCCACCTCTCTGTTAGAGCGCGAGTGTGTGTGTGAAACTAAACAGAGATTAAAGTGAAGAAATAGGGAATTATTAAACCTGGCAAGTCCCAAGGGTCTGATTTGCAGACATGAACCTCAGGGATGATTGAGGCAGGCAAAGGATAAGACAAGACCTTGCGCTTCAAGTATTGGACCACAAGTTCTTCGTCTGTTGGGTGAAATCGAAACCCAGGTGGTAATCTAAGCTCACCATTTCTCACAAAACTCAGCTTCTTCTCCTTCTCCATTATCAGGAACTCTCACTTCAGAACCCAACACACTCCTCCCTCCCTCCCTCTTATACCACGATACAGAATCATACACAAAGCAGAACCCGAGGCGAAAAGAGGAAGAAAAGGGGGGGAACAAAAAAAGAGAAGATTTTTGTTGTAAATTTACAGATACTCAAAAGATAAAGCAAAAAGAAAAGGGTACCACGGAGGTAGAATGAAGGAAAGAGAGAAACAGAGTCCTACAGAGAGAGAGAAAAGAGAGTGCGCAGGCGAGTCGAGTCGGAGCGGAGAAAGTCTGGCTTCTTTTTTATAGTAACGGAGCTGCACAGACAGACGGAGAGGCATAGGACGACATGTTTGGCGTAAACGACACTCAAGCTCCGATTTTCTTTGACGCAATTTTTTTTATTTTAAAAAATATTGCTTAAACTAATCTTTTTGAGAAATCAATTCCATTTGAGTTCTGTCTGAATTTTCAAATCAGACTAGACCGAGCAAATTGCTCCTCCTAGTTGTGATCGAAACGTTTTAGCCGAACCAGGGAGGGGGAAAAAATTATATTCCATAAGCAATGTCGTTTTCTGCTCCTCACACACAAGTACACAACATTAAATAGTCCAGTACAAGTCGCCTGACGTCATTGCCTTCCCATGGAGGTCATCCGAAAAACACAAATACTTTGTTTATTCTGGTATGTGAAAGTACAAAAATAACCCCTACTTCTATGATCTTTGCCTCGTCGATGCGTATAATTTATTATTGGCATTGGGGTTAAATTTCAGAATGAGACACAACCTCACCTGATAACCAAAGTAATACGTGCCGTTTAATCCATCATTTATTGCCGTCTTGGCTGACCTTTTGCACATTACAGTGACTACACATTTCGTGTGCTTATAGGTTAACGAAGAGATCAAATATTACATTAGATATATGTATATAAAAGAAAACAGTGCAGACCCTATCTTGTTTAATTTAAAAAATAATATTTCCACATTGCTTTTCTTCCACTCCATATCTGGATCTTGCACGGATTGACCAACTTACATATTAATATATTATTATTCGTTTTTTTAATCCATGTAACGTAAAACTATGTGCATATCTAAAGCACGTAAAACATATATAACATATCTATGTACATAAACTATAAAACAACATCAAGGGAATAAACTAGGTTTTCCTAGCGCCCACCTATTATTTTCGAGAAAAATGTCAAAAAATGTGTCGCCCTATAAAATATTATGAATGTCAATTTGTGAAGGGAGCTACAAGAAATCGATTGACCATATTGAATAGACCAAGGGGTGTTTGAATTAATCTAAAAATAATTTTTAAAAAATATTTTTAGATTAATTGAGACAAAATTTTCCTTACAAACTTATTTTATATATAGTAAAATTATTTTTAAAATCATAGTTTAAGTAAGAGAGTTGCTCAATTATGTTGTGCCGCCCAAAATTGCATAAAGAAATATTATTATCATTTATCACTTGTTCAAATATGCATACACTCATTTACCAAAAACATATATATATATATATATATATGCATTACACAGTACACACACATACTTGAAGACACACTCATTAATCACTGATTTTATTTGGAGTTAATATAATTTTTGGTCCATGAAATTTAAACACATTTTGACTCTAGTCTCTTAAATTTCAAAATCATGACTTTAGTTCCTGAAATTTATTCTATCTTAAAACATTAGCATATGAAGGTATAACAGTATTAAAATCTGCTAAAGTGTCATAAATGATATTAAAGTGATAATGTGAAGTCACTAGATGACATCTAGTTGGACCTTGTGTGGATAACAAGGAAAAAAAAAGGTCTTCAAAACACAACGCAAGGAATGATTTTATGGAGGTAGATGAGTTGTTAAAATTCAATGTAGCAAACAGCTACTCAAATGAACATTAGGGGAAAAGAGTGCCAAATAACTACATTATGAGGACTTTTTTTAATAATTTATTATCCATACAAGATTTATATAAGTGTTATTTGGTGAGTTCACATCATTACTTTAATGCAGTTTACAATAGTGTGGCAGATTTTAACACTGTTACACTTTTATGGACTAACATTTTAAGACTGATTAAATTTCATAGATGAAAACCAGAGGTTTGAATTTTGAGACCAAAATCGAAATAGACCCAAATTTCAAGGACAAAAAATTTAAATAAACTATGGGGCTTAATTAAATGCTGTACAGTGTAATGCGCACACATTGTCAACAGAATCACAATCCAAAAGCCAACTTCTAGAGTTGGAGAGTCTAAGGTCTTATGAGACTCTTATTTCAAAGTGATATTTTTGATGTAGGACTCATAACAATGCATCTCACTTGATAGCCGGCATCTAAATTGTATCATTCTAGCTTTTAATTCTAAGGATTAGTTTGGTTAAGCCATGATTCTATTAGATTTAAAGGTTTTGATAATAACAAAAGGAGTTTTTAGTTTCTCTACAAAATTGTTAAGTTAATCGATCAAGTGTTTGATCACTGGCTAATCGAACATGTGTCAGATAACTGTTAGTTCATTTTGAATCAATTATTGTTAGGTTTGATTGATCTTGTGTTAGATAATTCACTGTGATAGACAACTGGTTAGATAAATGTGTTGATCGATCATTAATAACACTAGGTGAATATAAGATGTTTCAGGAATTTATTGATCATTAGATGGATAAATGTTTAATTGATAAACTGCTAGGAAAAATGTATAAATATTCTGAATCATGACAAAAGAATTATCTATCATCTGATCGATCAAGTTTTAATTGATAATGACTCAGATAATTGGTAAGTTCCCTTTCCTCACTTGTTGTTTAAAATAAGTTTACAGATTATCCATCACTTTATTGATTATTATTTTATATATAACTTATTCAAAAATTATGTGTCAAAACATTTCTGTTTAATCGATAATGTGTTCATCAAAGTATTCTTTGTTATATTGCAAAATAAGGTTTTTACAATTCATGATCAATCATTTAATCCATCATCATATCCTTCTGCATCTTTTTGTCAAGACTTTTTCATATCAATTGTTTGATCAAAGGCTTATTATAACATTTTTTAAATTGAAGCTCTTCACAGTCATTGATCGATCAAGTAATCAATCATTCATTTATCAATAATATGATTGATCATCAGCATGTCACTCTACGTATTTCATCAAGTTGTTTTTGAATTGTTTTCATATCACATATTCGATCAGTCTTTTATCAATGAAGTGTTCAATCATCATACTTGCTTTCACAACAACTTTGAATTATCGATAAGATGATCAATCAAGTGATTATCGATCATCTATTCGATCAATACATCAATTCATTACTCAAGCTAATACTTCACAATGATCATTCATAAAAACATATTTTCATTTTGTTTTTTTTAAGCTTTTCTCAGCCTTCCTTAATCATATTACTCTCTTTTTAAAGATATGAAGGCATGCAAATTTAGAGGAAATAAACCTTGTATAGAACTCAGAAGTATTTCCACTTATAAAATCACTTTAGTTATATTTCACCATTTATCAATCACTTGTTCTATCATTGTTTGATCTATAATTTATTTGATAAATGCATACACCTATTAAGTCTATTTCTCTTGTAATTAATTGATAATATGATTGATCAAGGAGTTATCGATCAAGACATCAATCAAGTAAGTTCTTCTCACTGTCTGAATATCTGATGATTGATTCTATGTTTTTCATCTGTTGTATTAATATCAAGAATCATCACCTTTTCTGTTATTGATTTATATTTACTTGAAGAAGAAAGCTTACTTGTGTCAAGAGACTTCTATAGATTACAAAGCACAACGATTATATTATAGCCCTTAACCTACTATGTCAGAAGCATTAATGGCGAACAATCATTGTAACTGTCGAACACACACAAGCAATCTGCTAACGGTTAGAAGCTCTTCAGTCTAACGGATAAATGAAATACTCTAACTATAAATGGCGTGAAGAGCATTGAATAAAGTATTGAATACGCGAGCTATTGTCTGTTGAAATTTTCTATTGCATTCAATACTCTGTTTTCTTTTGTACTGAGCTTCAGTGTTTATCATTTTATATACTCTGTAAGAGAGGTTGCTACATCTTTTACTCAAATCTAAGAGTTACTCAAGAGTGTGGACTTTTGAGGGGATTGTAACCTTATGGTACTAAGGAGGAGTGATTAAGAGTGACTCGATTGCTATGCTGACGCACTAAGAGCATAGTTTCTTGAGGACTGGACGTAGTTCAAGTGGTTGAGACCGAACCAGTATAAACTCTTGTGACATCATTCTTTGATGAAACTTTTCAAACTCATCTCCACTGTTTTATCTGAGTAGTTCTTTTATTCAGTCAAATTTTTATATATCACCCAATTCACCCTTTTTAGGTGAAGCTGCCATTAACATTTGGTATCAAAGTAGGTTTCTTCGATAAAAACTTAACCGTCTAAAGAAAGATCTAATGGCAGGATTTGGAGATAGCGTGCTACCCAAAGGCTGCTTAACATCAAAATCACTAGGCTTTAATGGAGAAAATTATACATTTTGGAATATGAGGATGAAGATTTTCATCAAAGCAACTGAATATAGTTTGTGGGACGTGATAGAGTATGGGAACTATGTTCCAAAGAAAACTATTGACAACCAACAAGTTCCCAAAAGCCCAAGAGAGTTTGACGAAGAAGATAAAAGGCTCATTTTATTGAATGACAAAGCAATTAACATACTGACCTGTGTATTGAGCCAAAAGAAATACTCGCAAGTTTCAACTTGGAAACAGTAAAGAAGATGTGGGAAGCACTCAAAATTGCTCATGAGGGAACAATCGGCATAAAATAGAGCAGAATTAACACTCTTACCACAGAATTTAAATTATTCAGAGTAAAAGATGGAGAGAGAATTCGAGATATGGAAGTAAGATTATCCCATCTCATCAATCACCTCACTACACTCAGCAAGAAGTATAGCCAAGAAGATCAACTGAGGAAAATACTGAGCAGTCTCATGAAGGAATGGGAACCGAAGGTGACAACCATTGAGGAGACAAAATAAGAATCAATTGGCTCGATTGTTGCACTATTCAGAAGCTTGGCAGAGTATAAGAGTAAACAAAAAAACAAGAAGGAGATAAACGAGAAGAATCGTAAAGACATTGCTCTCAAGACTCATGAGAGTGAAGATGACAACGAAGAGGATCTGGAGGATGAGGAAATATGTCTCATAGTCAAAAGATTCAA